ATATATATAATGACGTTCACTGAAAACTTTCACATTTTATTAAAGTTTAGGAGATAACGCATTCACAGTTTTCACATTACAAATCCCACACATACTGAAGAACTGTCACCTCTGCTCTTTAAAACTACACATAAAGTCAAATCCCCCCCCTTAGATTAATAAATGAGACAAACATCTTTAGAAATCTAATGTTATAAACACTCACCAGGCACACGTTATAGGTTCACTTGTTAATACAAATAGCTAAGCGGCCAATCACATTGCAGCAACTAGTTGCATTTAGACATCTAGACATGGTGAAGATGGCATACTGAAGTTCAAACAGACCTTTAAATTAGTTATTGGTGTCAGACAAGCTGGTCTTAGTATTTCAGAAATGGCTGAACTTGGATTTTAAAATACTAGGGTTTAGAGAGAATGGTCCCCAGAGAAAAAAACATTTATTGAGCTGTGATTGTGTGTACAAATGTGACTTGTTGATGTCAGAGATGAGAGGACAATGGTACACTGGTATAGGATGACAGAGAAAATAGTAATAATAATAGCAATAGTAACTGAAATAACCACTTATTACAACCAAATTCTGCAGAATACATCTCTAAATACACAACAGCCTTGAAGCAGATGGGTCCAGCAGCACAAGCTCACACCGGGTGCCACTTCTGTCCGTTAAGAACAGGAAACTGAGGCTGCGGTTCACACAGGCTCACTAAAATTGGACAAAACCAGATTTGACAAACACATCCTGGTCTGATCAGACTCTTTAAACACTAAAGATGGTTGTGTGTAAAAAATCCCCTTTGGTCAACAGTTGCAGAATTAATCCAACCAGCTCATCCAGAACCAACAGCAATTGTCCAAAGAGACAATTAATTAAAGTTCAGTTTGAACTTCACAAAGTTATCTGAATACCTAACTGTATTGCTGTGATTGGCTGATAACCCCTCCCCCCACTTCAATTCAGTTTCAGAGTGCACATTTTCTTCCAACTTTCTAAACAAGCGTTTGATAAGTTAAAGTATTTTTCTTTCAGATGTTCCCTTCTTCAGGGGTTGCCACAGGGAACTAACTCACACGAAGACCTGGCAATTCTTTTGCCAATTGCTACCACAGCCCTCTGTGTGGAGCAGAGAGCTGACATCTAGGACACCCAGGGGAACAGATGGATGGGTGAAGGCCTTGCTCAAGGGCCCAGAGTGCAGAAAATGAGGATGGAGGCTGGTGTGGGTGTTCCAACTTTTCCACCCACATTTTGATGATGTCCGTTTGGGAGTTGAACCGGTGACCTTCCGATTACAGGCCCACCTTCTCTAGTCTCTGTTCCAGCACTCCCCCATTGATTTAGAACTTAAAGTCATTTAACTTTTTTATATAACTCTTCCTGTGGGGAAAGCACTTGACCTCCTTATGATACGACTGACAAATACTGTTTACATATTAATCATTTTATCCATCATAAAATGGTAAAGCTATCTTAGCCTGAAATATAAATATAAAATGTTTTTTTATTTTTTTATTATTATTATTATTTAGCTTCTGAAGGTCTTTAAGGTTTAGAAAACCTACTTTTTGTTAAAAGTAGACAATGTATACATTTCATGGCAATTTTTAAAAGAAGTTGAGTTTTTATTTTATTTTTTTTTATCTCAGGAAACTCAAATGAAATTTTGGATTATTTTGGAGCTTTGGGAAGAACCCACCCCCACCACTATAGTAGGCCCTCGCTACTTCACGGGTCGACTTTCGCAGACTCGCTCTATCATGGTTTGTGGATGTCCAGTCCATAATATTGTACAACAAAACAAACAAAAAAACTGTACCGGACACATGATTGTCAACTTTAATATTACTCACGTGATTGGGACAGTGCTGGATACAGTACTGTACAGAATAAAAGTAACAAAAAAATAAAATACTTCAGACAAGCACCTCCAGTTTTTAGTTTTCTCACAGTAAGCCTCCACTGTATTCCTGCTCACAACAACCACATTTCCCAGAAACCCCGTTTCCTTCTGCTAAACTAAAGAGAGAGTTTTGATCTGATCTGAGTGGATGCAGAAAAGTTTAACAGAACCCAATGAATCGGACCAGAACCAGAGCAGAACCAGACTTCCAGACCCATCGGTGAATCTTGAGAGCTGGTAGACCGCCCACGTGGACCTCCGAACAGATGCACGCGGCCGAAGGCCCGGTGGTCCACCTGTAGCTCACGGAACCTTTTTTATATCTTTCAACTAGCCAACAAGGCTCTCTGAGCAGGGACACGCTGATAAGGAAAATTTAGTAGCTGCATATAAGTATGTTGTTAAAATTAGTAGGTTTAAGTTTAGAACATAGATTGTGGGCTTCGTTGCTGCAGGGTACGTCTGTAGAAACGGAACCAAGTCGGACTGGAAATGAACCGAGCTGGTGCTGTTCTTCAGTGGCCGGTAAATTAAATGTAGTAGCTACGTACAGTACTATAAGTATGTTGTTAAAATGACGTTTAAGAGTTTAAAACATTGCAAGAGTGTGGGAAGGGTTTCTAAAGCATAAGTGTCTATACATGTATACATATATATATATATATACATGTATACATATATATATATATATATATATATATATATATATATATATATATATATGTATATATATATATATAT